CATCCAATTCTGGGCTCCGCACTTTAGAAAGGATGTGGAGAAGCTCGAGAGTCCAGAGGAGAGCCATGCACCTGATTAGAGGACAAGAGAACAGGCCTTATGAGGAGAGGATGAAAAGCATGACTCTTCAGCTTGGAGGAGCAAAGGCTCAGGGGTGACTTGGTGGCAGCCTTTAAGTATATAAGGGGTGTGCATTAGGAACTGGGAGAATGTCTGTTCACTGGGGTACGCCAAGAGAAGATAAGGTCTAACGGTCACAAACTCCTGGAAGACCATTTTAGACTGGACATAAGGAAAAACTTCTTTACTGTTCAAATCTCCAGAGTCTGGAATAGACTCCCCCCAGAAGTGGTGCAAGCACCTAGTCTGGATACCTTTAAGAAACACTAGGATGCTTATCTTGCTGAGGTGATCTGACCCCAGCTGACCTCCTGCCCCTGAGGCAGGGGGCTGGGCTCGATGATCTCAAAGATGTTCTCACAAGGTCCCTTCCAGCCCTAATGTCTATGAAATCTATAAAATCTATGAACAAATGAATGAAAGGAAATATGCTATTAGGGACATCTGAAATACTTTCCCTCTCTCCCCCTTCCTTCCCTCTTCCCCTCCCTCTCAACAAAGATTTTAAGAAGTGAGGATTTCAGGCCAATGTCTCTTTTTCAAAGTGCATTTAAAAAGCCTTTCTAGAAATATGGTGAAATGCGTTTTTTGTTTTGGCTAAAAACCTTAACTCAGTTGTAGCAATATTAGCTCAGGTGAACATTAACCCAGGGTGGAAATGACAGACAGTGAAGTGTTGGATACACTGTCAAGATGCTTAAGAAAGGTAGATTTTGTTCTACAAATCTGACTGAGATCTATATTTACTATAATGACTACAGGACTAATAAAACAATTTCTTTGGACTATTTTTGCCCAGCTTGTGCTTTTGAACTTAATACATACGCTAGCAAATTAGTACACATTCCAATAAAGTTATTTGTATTTTCTTTGATCTTAAATTGAATAATATAACACTAGGCTCTTAACATATTAGTAAATCTTCTAGTTTCTTTTTAACTGGAAAAAATTGTGTGCTGAATTATATGTGATGATGCACAATAGCACCTGAACCTCACTTTCCAAAGTCCTAGATCTGCTCATGAACTCCAGACATAAAACCAGTCTGATAACATCTTGCAAGCATCGTCTTAATATATTTACAACAGAGTAAGTTCTTCCTCTTATTTATCACCACTAGCATGGGGATGGCTGGGCAAATGGGATGAGCCCTAGGTACTGCCTAAGGGCAAGGGAAGCACCAGAGTGAAGTGGGGGTGCCTTACCCTCCTGATCCCCCTGCACTTTCTGGCTCCAACCCCAGCAATAAGCATCAGCTGTGGCACATATTCAGTGACTGCAGTGTAGTCCTGTGGAGTGGCAGTGGCTGGGTGGAGGAGGCACCCTATTTTGTATTGCCAAAAACAGAAGGCAAGAAAAACTTCAGAGGAACTTGCTTGTATCTCTGTGACAGAAATTCAGCAACGAGGTGAAACAGTGCCGTGCAAAGGGATGTACAAGAGACTAAGGAAAAAGGAAGGGGAGGCTCTCCAAATAGGGACTGGAGTGACTACAGTCCTGCTATGTAATTGGGGTTGCAAGAAGCTCTCACAGCTCCTGCACTTCAAGGGCTCCCCCTAACACTGTAGTCTCAGCACACAAGGAAGCAGCACCCCACTGGTGTTGCAAATGGTTCAATGATGGCATTCAAAGCAATCTTGCTGTGGAGTCTGTAAGCGTAGCTGGAAGAAATGGGTATGCGAGCTGATGGCACTGTGGATGTAAGTGTCTTTTGCTGCAGGTTATCACCGATTGCAAAGAATATGCTGACTGATGACTTAAGGGTAATTACAGGAAGGGCTCATTTCATCACTGAGCTACTGCACAGTTAAGGGTTGTTGGGGAGCACGTATGGTACCAAAAGTTGCTTCGTTTTTCAAATGGATGTGAGTGTTTCCAAATAAACAGCTGCCAGCTTTGCTGATAAAGTCCTAGATATTTACTGACTAGTCTGGTTGCATCTGAACTGAAGCAAGTGTAACTACATTAGATTCTTCTTCTGAAGGAATAATGGAGTCAAGGAGCCACAATTAGGGGTCCAAAGACATCCTAAGCCTGAAGATTATTAAGTATATTTGTTTTCTAAATAAATCTTCCCTGTAAATAAATCTTTGAACAACATGCATCTGGCAGCAATGAAAGTTGCTGCAAATAGAGTGAGACAATGTGAAGCCCCTGCAGATTAAAAAATACTTAGATCTGGGGGAAAAAATTTTCCTTTCAAGTTGCTGGAACGTGTTTAATACATTTCACTTTAAAAAAAAGTAAACACTTGTTAGAGATCCTGTAATATAATTACTGTGCAAAAAGAGGGAGACAGGATAGCCAGGTCAAACTGAATTTTTAAGGCAAAGCTGAAATAAAGACACTTCTTGAGTTCCTCACAATATCAGAAAGGGGAAATGAAGCTAGCATGGGAAGTCAGTATGACATTAAATGTACTGCAGTTCATAAGGATATAACCTGACTCCAGGAATTAAAAAGACACCCAAGCCTGGAGCTCTCCTGCTCCAACTGCTTACAGGCTAAAATTGTTTGCCTACAGAGTCTGAATTGGTAGCAGACATGCAGCCGTTCA